GCGCTGAAGAGTTACGAGGATATAACGTCACTATGTTTTACACCTCTCTGCAGTTGGATAGGGTATGAACTCCGAATTTAAAAAAAGTTAAGATCCGAAAACAAATGCACAGAAATGACAATATTAATGATTATTGTAAATATAAATTACGTTTATATTTTGTATTCACTCGTTTTATTTTAATATTTTCCATTAGCTTATTTAACGTTCTAAAACATTTCAGAATTAACAGCAAAATATCTATTGTATGAAAATTACTATTTTATGTACAGAACCATAAAACAAACGTGGAGCGACGTCGTTCGTGGCACTTAGCTGAATTTGTAGTCTTATTCAAAATTGTATGCTTGACATATGGTGAAAATTTTATGCGCAACATAACATTCTACATCACTGCTTTTATTTCTTCACAAACTGTCTACAGGATACTTAGCGTTTTTGTTTTATAGGATGGGGTGACAAACGAGCACACAGTCCACCTGGATGGTAAGTGGTTGCTTCAAACGAAATGAAATTATTAAGGAGGTTAAATCAATATATATATATATATATATATATATATATATATATATATATATATATATATATATATATATATATATATATATGTATATGTATATGTATATACCTGTCTCTTTTTGGTGTCGCTTTTTGGTTCAAAGTTCAAAATCACAACGATTCTAAAGAAGTTTTTACACTAAATAACATTAAAAAAGACACATTTATTGACCTACGCAAATAAACACTATGTACTGAATTCCAGCTGATATCAAAGTCCTGTTTTCCTTTGTTGCAACAATGTTGACCTGTATTACTCCAACTAAGGCTGAATTCCCGTTTGCGTTCAACATCACTTACTAAGTAGGAAAAGGTTTCTTTTCACACAGTCATAAATTTAGCGTACTCTACAGAAGCTTTATTTTACTGTTGCACCTAACTAGAATAACAAATGAGATCTTGTTATTCAGGAGGTGAAAAATGATTTCAAAAGAAGCTTTAATGAATACAATAATTTTTTAAAACTATCTATCTATGATATGATGTTATTATTAGTTTACTGTCAATAAGACTTTCACAAATTTATCATCAGGCATGCATTTCTTGGAAGCGGTGCCATGATCCTAACTACGCGAGTTGAGTGCAAAGCCGTGATCATTCTTTGAAATATAGCTTTGGTATTTTTTTAAATTTCTGTCATTAAAAATGACTAAGCATTTTCTTTATAAAATTATTGCTCACAACACACTATATACATAATGCCTAAAGTATATCTCACCACTTTGTCTATTATACAAAATGCTGAAAGTACAATTGTTATAATACTGTTGCGCGCCTACGTTGACGTCATGTAGTGTCAGGGACGAGAGCGGGGGGAGCTTTCCAGAAAATGACATCACTAAGCTCTCAACCGACGGCACCATCTGGTGTCGAAACGAAGAACTAAGCTTCTAGAAGCCAACACTCGAACTTTCGACGCTTTGTGTTGTGCGCGAATGTACTGGATGTTTCGGTGCTAATGTGTATTTATAGGCGCTCCAAGGTGCGATCGGGGAAGTATTAAATTTGGCGAGACAAGCGAAGTTTCGGAGCGAAATAAAGTGAATCAGTGTGATTAATTGTTAGTGTTTTAAGTTTAATTAGTGTAAAGTGAATTAAAGTGTTAATTTTGGTAATTCTATCGGCAATTTTTATTGTCACGAACCCTAAGCTCGTAACAATTGGTGTCAGAAGTGGGATAAAATCATGGCGATTTTACCTAAGGAGGTAACGGAGGGTGTCCGTACCCGAAGTCAACGCCAGCAGGAGACGGACCAGAGACGATTTGGTGGTGTAACGCCGCAGATGTCTGAGAGCCAGCCGCCGGCCACGGAAGCCGGCCCGTCAGCAGCTCCTACGTCTGTGGTACCTGACTTAGGTTCTCTGATGGTGATGCTGCAGCAGCTGCAGCGCGGACAGGAGGGACAGGCCCGCCGATTGGAAGAGCAGCTGCGGGCGGACAGGAGGAACAGGCCCGCCAGCAGGAGGAACAGGCCCGTCGTTTAGAAGAGCAACTCCAACGCGATAAGGAAGAGCAGATGCTTCTCATGAAGGACTTTCACGCTACCTTCGGAAAAGAGATACGGGGGGTGAAGGATAAGGTTGCTCAACATGACAACCGGACGGAAGCTAAAACCCGAATGGACCAAGTAAACAATCGGGTTTACAACGTAATGGCTGACGTAAAGAAAACGCTGGACGACCGCAAATTTGGGGATGGAACAACAGCTCCCGTAGTAGCTACAACACCTTCGCTACGTGGATTCAAAGTGCCGCCGTTCGACGGGACTTCTTCCTGGTCGGCCTACAAAATCAAGTTCAAGGCCATCATGGAGGCAAACGGCTGGAATAAAAGCCAAGCTATGACTGCACTCACCCTAGGCCTGCGCGATCAAGCCTTAACTGTGTTGGAAGCTTTGGTAAGAAAGTGACCTACGAGCAGCTCCTTGAGGCGTTGGAGGTGAGATATGGCGACGTTCACCTGGAACACGTCTTTCGCGCGCAGCTTAAAGATCGCGTACAACGCAGCAACGAAAACCTGCAGCAGTGGGCCCTTGAGGTGGAGAAGATGTTTCGAAAAGCATACCGGTCTGTACCTGCGCTCATTGAAGGGAACCTGGTGCAGACATTCATCGACGCTCTTGAAGTCAGAGCTGCTGTGAGGCTCGGGAAGCACGAGACGCTTAAGGACGCCTTGGCCCATGCACTGGAAGTGGAAGCCGTGCGGCAGGATCTTCACTCCCATCGCGTCAGGGAAGTTGCAGCAGCTACGGTTCGCGACCGCAATAAAGGATACAACCCTAGGTGCTATGGCTGTGGGGAAAGGGGCCATCTTCGATCCAGCTGCCCTAAGCGAACCGTAGAAAGGGAAGGTGAACGATATCAGGAGGGTGGTGCGGCTAACAGCCCCGCCCAGCAGCAGCAGGGAAACGAGTAAAAGCCAGAACTGCGGGGCGGGTGCTGGCTGATGTTAATAGAGCCCCAAGGATCTCGATCTCAAAAACTCATGATGGGAACAGTCTGATCATCAAGGGCGAGGTCAACGGAATGCCGTGTAAACTGACCATGGATACTGGAGCCTCTCGTACGGTTGTTAGTTCCCAACTTATAAGTCAGTTCCTTGGGGACTCCGCATACAACCGGTCAGCGTATACCCGTCCGTGGAGAGAAAGAGATGGAGTTGAAGCTAGGCAACATGATCTACCTGCATAATGTCATCGTGGCTGATATAATGGACGACTGCATCCTGGGCCTCGACTTCATGAGGAAGAATTGTTGTGCGATTGACGTTTAGCAAGGCGTTTTGAAGCGTAAACAAGAGGAACTTTTTGTGGAAGTTGCGTTACCAGGGAACGTGTACAGCCTTAAGAAGATTGTTCTTCCTCCGAGATCGAAAACGATTGTGCCGGTTAGTCTTCCTCAGAATCCTAGACAACCTCATCGTTGTGTACTCGTGGAAAGGTTAGACAATGACCTCCCATGGAAAGTGGCTCGAACCTTGGTCAGGACCACTAACATCTCAGGAGTACGAGTGCTGAACCTTTGTGACCAGAAACAGATTATAGAAAAATGCACACCGGTTGGTACTTGTGAGGAACTGGATTGGCTACGTTGGTGCCAATATCTATCGACTGGGACCCCCAGCAAGGATGCACAAACGAGAGTGAGCACACTTTTAGAAGACTGTCGCAGCGTTCTCTCCTCGAACGAAATGGTCAAGGCAAAGAAGTTGTTACTCAAGCACGCCGATGTATTCTCATCAAACGATGCTGACATAGGAAAGACTGACTTAGTTCAACACATAATAAACACAGGAGAAGAATTGCCTATCCGTCAGTGTCCAAGAAGATTACCGGTAGCACGTGAAAAGGAAGTAGAAACCATGATAGAAGGAATGGTTAAGGATGGTGTTATTGAACCTTCCTCTAGTCCACGATGTTCACCCGTGGTGCTGGTAAAAAATAAGGATGGCAGTATGCTGTTTTGTGTTGACTACCGTCGTCTGAACGACGTTACGAAGAAGGACAGCTATCCCTTGCCAAGAATTGATGACCGCTGGACATGCTTACAGGAGTAAAGTGGTTTAGCACGCTGGATCTAAAAAGTGGCTACTGGAAAGTTGAGATTGACCCTAAGATACAAGGAAAAAACTGCGTTCTCGACGGGAAAGTGTCTGTGGCAATTAAAAGTAATGCCGTTTGTGGTGTGCAATGCTCCAGCAACCTTTGAGCGGCTGATGGAACTTGTACTTACCGGGCTAATTGGCGATGCCTGTCTGGTCAACTTGGATGACATCATGATCGTGGGCCGTACATTTGAGGAACACCTTCAAAACCTGGAACGCGTGCTCATGAAAATTCAGAGTGCCAACCTCAAGTTGAGTCCGAAGAAATGTTCACTATTCAAACGGCAAGTCATCTTTTTGGGGTATGTAGTGTCGGAAGAAGGTATCCGCACGGATCCAGAGAAAATCGCAGCTGTCAAGGATTGGCCGGTTTCAAAAGACAAGACGCAGGTTAGAGCATTTTTGGGTTTGTGCTCCTATTACCGGCGATTTGTGAAGAACTTTGCAGATATAGCCAAACCTCTGCATAAGCTAACCGAGGAGAAGCGACATTTCTGCTGGGATGAAAGTTGCAATATCGCATTCCAGGAGCTCAAGGACCGTCTGTGCAAAACACCTATTTTGGGATACCCTGATGCAAGCAAAGAATTTATAGTTGACACAGACGCAAGTGATATAGGACTTGGCGGTGTGTTGTCTCAAGGAAGCGTGATAGCGTACTTCAGCAAGTCGTTGTCAAAATCGGAAATGAACTATTGTGTCACAATACGCGAATTGCTAGCTGTGGTAAAGTCGTTGCAGCATTTTAGCAAATATCTTCTGGGGCGGAAATTTCACTTACGAACTGACCATGCTGCGCTAAAATGGCTATTGTAGTTTAAAAATCCAGAAGGACAAGTTGCGAGGTGGATTGAACTACTGCAGGAATACGACTTTGAGATCGAACATCGAAGCGGGGAAATCTCATGGCAACGTAGATGCATTGTCAAGAAGACCTTGTCCTGAAGATTGCAAACATTGTACTAGGCAAGAGAGTAAGGAAGTGGTATCCGTGGGGATGCTCAGGGCAGACCACCTCAGCAACGAGTGGAAGGACAGCTTACAACGTGCACAGCAGGAAGATCCGGATATCAAGCCGATTCTGGAATGGATGAAGGCCAGTGCTCCCAAGCCCAAGTGGAGCGACGTCTCAGCGATGAGTTCAACCACTAAAAGCTTTTGGGCCCAGTGGGACAGCTGCTGCTTCAGGATGGAGTTTTGTGCCGTAAATGGGAAAATGTTCGGGGAGACAGCTGTCATTTGCAAATGGTTGTCCCTAAAGCTAAGGTACCGGATGTTCTACAGCTGTACCATAATGATTATTCAGGAGGCCATCTGGGAGTTAAATGAACTCTACTGAAGATCCGAGAACCGTTTTACTCACTCAACTGTCGAAACGATGTCGAGGACTGGTATCGCAAGTGTACAAGTTGTGCGGCTGTAAAGGGACCTAAGACTCGTAGTAGAGGTGCATTGAAGTTGTACAATGTTGGTGCACCATGGTAGAGAATAGCCATTGACGTAGCGGGGCCGTTTCCGGAGAGTGAAAGAGGTAACAAGTATTTCATGGTTGTGATGGATTACTTCACTAAGTGGCCAGAAGTCTTCGCCATTCCAAATCAAGAAGCTTCAACAGTTGCAGATAAACTGGTTTATGAAGTCTTCTGTCGTTCTGGAGTACCTTTAGAGATTCACAGCGATCAAGGAAGGAATTTTGAGTCTCAAATATTCCAGGAAACTTGCCGAGTTATGGGTACTCATAAAACAAGAACGACTTCTTATCACCCGCAATCTGATGGAATGGTAGAATGATTTAATCAGACATTGGAGAGGTACCTAGCAAAAGTTGTGAAGACAATCGGCAACGAGATTGGGACAAGCACATACAACCGTTTTTGTTGTCATATCGAAGCGCTGATCACGAAAGTATAGCAGTGACACCAGCTTTCGCAAACTTTGGAAGAGAATTACGGCTGCCTGCAGACCTGATTAACGGGATACCACCTGACGCCCCACGCAGTATAACCGATTATGCAAACGACTTGCGGAATAAAATGAATGACATTTATGAGCACGTCAGATAATCGGGCCAGCAAATGTCTGAGAAGATGAAAACCCGGTATGACCGCAAAATGAACAATAAAGGGTTCGACGAAGGTTCACTAGTGTGGTTGCACAATCCAGTCCGCAGCAAAGGGAAATCTCCTAAGCTTCAAGCTAAATGGGACGGCTCATACCGGATTGTAACCAGGATCAACGATGTAACCTACCGGATACAGAAAGGCGCAAGATGGACTCCTAAGATCGTCCATGTGGATCGCTTGGCGCGTTATTTGGGGCCGATATGCTCGGGACGAGCATGTCTTAGGAGGGGGCAGTATTGCGCGCCTAAGTTGACGTCATGTAGTGTCAGGGACGAGAGCGGGGGGAGCTTTCCAGAAAATGACATCACTAATCTCTCAACCGACAGCACCATCTGGTGTCGAAACGAAGAACTAAGCTTCTAGAAGCCGACACTCGAACTTTCGACGCCTTGTCCATTTGTGCGCGAATGTTCTGGATGTTTCGGTGCTAAAGTGTATTTATAGGCGCTGCAAGGTGCGATCGGGGAAGTATTGAATTTTGCGAGACAAGCGAAGCTTCGGAGCGAAATAAAGTGAATCATTGTGTTTAATTATTAGTGTTTTAAGTTTAATTAGTGTAAAGTGAATTAAAGTGCTCATTTTGGTAATTCTATCGGCAATTTTTATTGTCACGAACCCTAAGCTCGTAACAATACAATGTGACTTCGAGGACCACTGTGGAATATCTCGTTACCAATAAAATGTAACTTCTATTCTCCAAACTCAACGTATAAAACGTACGAAACACGGAATTATTATACTACTATTTCACACTGATATTTTTATAGTATAAGGGTCAAAAACGAGCTGTTTAGCAGACTGAGAATGAGAGGGTACATTGTGGTCCATCCGATGCCGTGACCAACAAATATCTACATCTGTCTTCGATTAAGAATCAAAATGCAGATGCAATTACCACGATGGAGTTTCTCTTTTTCATTACCAAAGGACTCTAACCCCTTCTTACTCTAGTGTACTGCACTAACCATACGTAAAATAGCAGCATTAAGTTGTTAATTTATGCTGGTATTCTGAAAGAGATGGGTCCCTTCCTGGTTGAGCCGGATTCATACCTGCTACACACATAATAAACCTGTAGGTACTAGGGAACGTGAGGGGATTTTTGCCATTGTTGCAAATCATGGCAGGTGAGCTTTCAACTGCAGTGTTTTATTATTTTGAGTTGTTATCAGGAATAACACTGCTCATTTCATTTATGTTTCTTTGTTACCGCTTAAATTACCTACGGGGTAATATGGGGTGGTGGATTATCTTACACCAACACTGTACACTGGAACGATTTCCAACCTTTCAAAAGTCATGATAATCAACAAAGGACATTTGAAAGCAACTTCAATTTAAGAAGGCTACAGATACATTGTCTGCTCTGAAGAGTAAGATTAAATGCCTCACAGTATGTAATTGCATCTTATGTCGCTTTAACTTTCAGACCATAACACAGCACGTAAGCAGCAGCAGTCATATGGAAGAGTGTGGTATTTTTGGTAACGACCTCCTAGGCAGAAAGGAAGTCCTGCTACCTAATAATTGTAATGACTTAATTAATTAAATTTTTTATGTTTCAGAGAGTCGATAAATGGGGTTTAATTAATGTTAGTTATAAGGTTGTTTCTCAGTCCCGCTTGAGCTCTGCGACCGTGAATACTAAAAACTACATAAATACAATTAGTCGATTTCGATGCATCGTATTCTTCCATCATCTCCGTTTACGCCATTTCCGCCTAATTTTTGGAATTTTTATTTATGTATTTACTGATGACGCACCGAGCAACAGCAGCAGCGATTTCCGTATTGCATTCGTCCAAATCTCCCATAAGCCTATAAGAAGTTTAAGCGAAATCTCCTTGGATAACTATGTACCTTATGTAATAGCAAACTTGATCGCAATCGGGTGCAGGCCTGTCACCCGAGTCTTCACATGCGAGAGCTATCGAGAATACTTGTGCGAGATTGCATAACCGCCAACATATTTAAATGATGAAACATTCTGTATCGTCAACTGATTATAATTTGAAATTAAACTATAAATCTATTATTGTCTGCTAAGTTAAAAATTACTTACTAATTACCTGCTAAAGATTCAAATTGCATTAGATCGTTCGAAATGTTTATATACTTCTCTTTAATTTGCTGTGCAGAAATGTTCCACCCTACAAACTGATCAAAAAACTATCCAGTTCTTTTCTTACTTTATTTCTTAGTTTATAGGGCTATTGATAAATAATAGAAATCCAATAATCTACATCCAATTTCCTTAAGAATTATAAACATTAATATAACAAAATTATAAACAATTAATAAAACTTAGTATGCCTATATTTATACAATAAGTCCATACCTATTAAATTGCCGTTCTACTGTACTGGTCATTTCAAATCAAAATAATTTTTGATAAGAATTCTAGTTTCAAATTAATTTTATTTAAAAAACATGGCATTATTTTTATAAAGTAAGTCATTTGTTATCAATATGTTTTCATCTCATTTGAATAAGTACTGTCATCTGGGATACGTTAAAAATTCGTGTAATTATGGAATACGAGTACCATCTTGGCAGCAACGCGGCACAAGCGGCACGCAACATTAACGACGTTTACTTACCGAATAACGTATGCTACGTCGTTCGTCATGCGTACAGCCAAGGAATGTTATAAGATGCCAGCATCTGTCTTTCCATCCGATTACAATGTGGGTGTCTTCAAGGCAAGAGTGAATAGGTTTTTGTGAAGTTAGTGCGCTTTACCACCTTAAGCTACATCACCACTTACCATCAGGTGGGATTGTAGCTAAGTGCTGGCTTATAATAGTTAAAAAATTATTGACTTCGATTACATTGATGATGTTCACGTTTTATTTATATTAAAATCGGTTGTACAAAACTTTAATATAAAATAAATAATTTCACGGTTTTTACAGACATTCAAAACAATATGATAATGAACCTGATTTGCCTGATAATGTTTAGACACGAATTTTTAAATTCATTTTCAATTGATTTAAGAGATTTTCTCCAGGGTCACTTTTTAATTAGTTTTTATTAACATTATTTTTCATAAAACATAGATTTTTATTTGATTTATTGGTTCTTCTGAATCAGTGCCTTTGTAATACTAAAATCTTTTTTTTTATCTTAAAACCCGTACTTTGTTGGGTAAATGGATTTGTGAGGGTTTCCGATCTTTTGCTTGAAAAAAAAATAAGTATTATTACTTAAAATTATTTTGTAATTAAAACTAAACCCAAGCCACTGCAAGACTTCGAGACACAGTTCATTTTGCGTAGATCGAACCATAAACAATAATTAAAAAAGCTGAGAATAATAATTAAAAAAGCTGAGAATACTCCAGGTTTAACAATGACATCGGGACGTCAGTCATCTCAGTCCCCCGTAACCATGGGTGCTGGAAAGCACCCGAAACGTCGGGAATTCAAAATAATTAAAATTAAACGCGATAAATTCCGTAAAAGTAGTTTTAATCAATAAGTATTGTATTGTAAGTAAAATTAAGTACTGTTACTGTTGTATATTTATTTACTTGATTTCATTGATTTATAAAACGATAATAATAGTGCATGTCAAAATAAAACTCAAAGTTAACATCTAAAATTGCAAGAAACCATAAATTAAATTATGCAAAGCCGGATGTAAAGGATAAAATAAATAAAAATATTATCAAATTTATTTTTACAGTTGTAATTAAAAACTGAAGGTACTACTTCTACCGAATATTAAACAAAGAACATTGATTTAAATACAATTACTTTAATTGAAAAAAATGTGACGTGTTAGAACTGATACCAACTCCGGAGCACACAGGTTCACTTGACTTGTTGACATCCAAGAACAGGCATCAGCATTGATAACTCGAACCGCGGGATAGTTTGTAGTGTGTTTCACCTGTCAGCGACAATTAAAGTTGGATGCAAAAAGAGCACCTAAAAGATCGTCTTTCTCCTTTGCGCCGTGGGCCAGCGAGTCATCCTCCCTGCACTCTACACACACCAGTCTAAACGCAGAAGTATAAATTCTTCTATTTCACGCTGATACTCAATATTCATACATGGGCATATTCCAAGTTTATGGCATGCCTTATTTTGTGGTGCTTATATTTAATTTAAGAATGGTTTACTGATGTGCTTAAAATGTCAATCTTAAAATATTAAAGGTATTCAAAAAATCGGTTGCTTGGGTTAACAGAAATCAAACGAGTATTAGTATATTGGTATTTGTAATGAAAACAGAATTTCGTCAGCATAAAATTACGATAACTTTGAAATCAGGACTAAGCATTTACAAAAAAATTTCAACTGTCAGTTTCTATTTACATTGATTTTTCCACTTTATTGCGCCGTTATATAAACTCTAAAGGAAAATAGCCATAATGTAGTATTAGTAAAGTAATATTAGCAACAATGCTTCCTTCGTCTTCGTCAGCTCAAATTCGAGAAAGTGAAAAACAATATAAAAATAATAAATTCTCGAATAAAATAAATAAATACAGTTTTTAAGAATGTGTACGACCAGTTCTTCTATGTTATAAATGGATGGGTTTTCTTCCCATTACAGGTCTTAATAATTCAAAACGTTCAACGTTAGGTATGATTTTTACAAATTACCATGATTTTTATTTGCAGAAAAAAATTATATAATAATTTTGCTATAGTAATG